GCCTTGGGCAGTGGGATTCGCTAACAGACGCAAAGCATCAGCAAAATCAGACGACTGTTAGGACATCGCTTAATCTGGAGCAAGAGTTCAAGCGGCATCACTTCGTTGCCCTCAGAAGTATCGGCCAGCGGGAGGAGGAGAACAGCTTGTCGGCCATCGAAATGGCCTATAGCTGTGTGCGCGACATTCTGATGGAGATCAGCGTGGAGTGCCTGCAAAGTGTGTACAAGTACCTGACGTGGCTGTGCTCTCTTCAACAAGCAGAGGAGTTTTGCCAGGTGATGGTGTCTTCGGAATTACGCGATATACTTTACTGATCCTTGAGTTTTTTTCACACATCAGATCCAATTTGGCTCTCAACTGGATCCTGCTTTGACGACCAAGATTTTCAAGAAATGGCAAACGGAATTGGAACTTACGTACGGAAATTTTTCTTGTAAGGAATACGTGATTGCACATCAGATTGCTTTGCTGAAGTTGGCGGGAACAAGGGCTAGTCGCAGAATTAGCGAGTTCTATCAAAAGGATCCCATTAGCACGTACCTAATGAAGGGAATTAAGGAGTGCAAAAGCGCTGGGAAGTTAAATCTGGCAGCCAAGTACATAGCTACTTTACGGGAGCTTCCTAATATTAGGGAGTCCACCAAGGTTACCTAATAATATTTAAATTTACAATCAATTCTACATATGTTAGTAATTGCATATTATTTTAGATAAGCGTTCTGCTGGAAGATGCCGAAATCAATCTGAAGATGGGCAACCAACAAATTGCTAAAGCGATTTTGGACTATGTGACCAACAATAATGAGTTTGTCTACTGCGTACAACGAGTTCCTGCTCTCAGGATGCAAGGCGAGTTCCTCTTAGACTGCAATGCTGAGACTTTAAGTTGGGTTCAGTCTCACAACTTCAATAATTCGCTGAAGCTGATTGATGACTTTGTGCTGCACCGCCAGACGCTGAGCGAAAAGTATCGGGACATCTTCGATTGGCAACAGCTTGATGGTTTCGCCAGTAAGCACCGAACGGCAGCCTATGCAACGATTGCAAAGTATGCTGATCGGGAGTATCAGCAACTACACGACTACCGACACTCGCAGGAGTATCAAACGTTGAAAGATATCATCGAGCAGAACCGCCAGACGGCGGAAAAGGTGACCCAGCGCGAGAACCAAGACCGGCGCGTCATCTCCGTCCAGATGAAACGTTACGCTAGTTTGGACGAGCGACAGCTAAATCAGATTGAAGAGAAGCTTACAGAGTATCTGTGCCTGGCGTTGACCAATTATATGGCGTATTGTCGGTTGGACAGCGGCTTTTCCAGTGCCGCCATCTATCGCATAATTTCGCTGTGGTTCACCAACGCAACCAGTAAACAGTGCCAGGAGTCTATCAAGGAGGGGATACTTACAGTGCCTAGTTACAAATTCATCTGCGCCGCCAACCAACTGACAGCGCGCCTTAATTCCAAAAACACGAGCCTGCTCAAGGGGCTGACAGACCTTTTGGTGCAATGTGGCACAGATCATCCATATCATACATTCTACCAGCTGTATCCGCTTGTGTTTGCCCACCTGGATGGCGAGAACAGCAATACAGAGCGATCAGGAATTGCGCGTAAGATTATTGCTATGATATGCGAAAAGAATGCCACAGCAGGGGAATGCAGCAAGCAGCTGGAGTCGCTGCTGCCAGGTAAACGAATCGGTTCTACATTGTTCTCAAATGCTTGGCTAAGACTCGTTCTTTCACAGCACTCATAACTTTTGCCAACGAGGGAAAGACGGACGATAACAGGCCGGTGTCGGATTCCGTCCGCAATAAGCAGTTTGACAAGGTGAGGCGCTGGCGGAATCTCAATGCCGTACATTGCCCGACCCTCGAGCTGCCTGTTATGCCCAGCAAGGAGTACAGTATAATAAGTAGGTTTGGGAACCGAAGATTTATAGTTATGCCTTTAATAACCAAATCTCAATCCACTCAGGCGTCGTCAAGTGGAACAACGAGACTATACAGTGTGGGGGATTAAATGCGCCTGTTAAAATTATGTGCGTATGCTCTGATGGTAAAACACGGGCTCAACTGGTCAAGGGAAAGGATGATCTACGGCAGGATGCCGTGATGCAGCAGGTTTTCGGCATTGTCAACGAGTTGCTCAACCAGGACTCCGAATTTATCGAGCGTAAGCTCAAGTTGCGCACCTATAAGGTCACCCCGCTATCCATGCGTAGTGGCATCCTGGAGTGGTGCACCAATTCGGTTCCTGTGGGTCATTACTTGGTTGTAGAAGGGAAAGGAGGGGCGCATGCGCGATACCGGCCAAACGACTGGAATAACAACAAGTGCCGCAAATTGTCCTCTGTGCGTTTCATTTTAAATAAGAGGTTTTCGTAGCTTATATTATTTTTTTAATTTGCAGGATCACCTCAAGTTTCCCAAGGAGGCGCGATATGCCATTTACAAGCGAATATGCGAGAATATTAAGCCCGTTTTCCATTACTTCCTGCTGGAGAAGTTCCCGATTCCAGGCGTCTGGTTTGAGAGACGGTTGGCTTACACCAATAGCGTAGCTACCACCTCAATGGTGGGCTACGTTCTTGGACTGGGTGATCGGCACACACAAAATATCCTAATAGACCAGCAGACAGCTGAGGTCATTCATATTGATTTTGGTAGGTGCATAATTTTCATAATATAAATGCGGATATTGATATTGTTCATGCTAATGACAATTTTTGTGCGCATTTTTTAGGCATAGCGTTTGAGCAGGGCAAAATCCAGACGACACCAGAGACCGTTCCCTTCCGGTTGACTCGCGACTTTGTGGCACCAATGGGAATCTGTGGTACAAAAGGAGTCTTTGCCAAATCCTGTGAAGCTACCATGCATATTCTTCGCCGATATAAGTCCGTTTTTACCACCATTCTCGAGGTTTTGCTCTACGATCCACTCTTTATTTGGGGTGTACTTAAAAAGAAGCAACCAGGCCACGCATCACAGCAATCCGGTGAGCTCAAGCTCACTTACTACCTGTACAGTTCTCTCTATAATTTGGCATTTTTTTCAGGCGAGGAATCAGTGAATTTAGTTGCCCAGCGAGCTTTGCTTCTGGTGCAGAACAAATTGGATGGCAGAGAGGCCGGCACACTAGGCGACTCGAATGTCGAGGCACAAGTGGAGCGATTAATCAATGAAGCCACTCTACCAAGCAATCTCTGCATGCTTTTTCCGGGCTGGGACCCACACCTATAAGCCTAAGTACATCACATTATCATTACTTGTTAGTAGTTCTAATACAAGGTTTATACTATTTTTATCAAACATTGTGGTGCTTAATCTGGTTAAAAGCACACATTGTTGATTGGTTCTTTTGCTATCAGCGGGAAACGCTACAAATGGTATACATTATCTTGGCAACTGAAGAATTTCAATCTGATATTTCGACATTATACATTATCAAAGGTTTCGGCGTTTGATTGCCATTATATAGGTTGCATATATAGGGGTTTTTTTGGGCATGCACGTCACAAAGTTTTTGGGCTCCCAGTGAGTTTCAGGAATTATGTGGCCTCTTCTTTTTTATAATCCGACAAGGTGGTCATAAATCAATAACCGGCTGTGAAAATAACGCTTATCGAGACCCCATACCGACTATTCCGTGTTCATAGGTAACAAAAGCCTTTGTTGATCGCGCTATCGAACATACGGGAGCTGATAACGGACGGATTTAAATGCAAATGGGCTTTTGATAGTTCGATAGTCCTTATCACATATATAGTAAATGTGGCTAAACCGTCAAACGGTCTATAAATTGTATAATTTCAAGTGCTTACCCATTGTCCCCGATTTATAAAAACGTACATATATTTATTAAGCTAATTTAAAATAGTGGCTTATATAAGTTTAAAAGGATTTATACAGTCAGTCTTAGGGAGTCGGACTAGCCTCAAGCTTGCAATCGGGTTCCACACCCTCAAATATGGGTGCACTTTCTCCTTCGCCGCCTCCACCAATTATTATTTGAATAATTTCCGACAGAGTGAACTGACCCAAAAATTTGTTAACGGCCTGTAAGACATACATGGAAATTGAATTAGAAAAAATTTTGCTTTTGAAATCCTGAATTGTAAACCCACCGCTTGGACTTTGGAGACCACTGTGCCCTGTTCATAATCCCAGACGTCGCCGAGCAGCTCTACTCCCAATTCGTTCACCAAAGCATGGATAAAATCATTGATACGCTCCTCTTCCATCAAGTTCTCAAAGTTAATCCATAGTCCTCCCAAACCCAGCTCAATCTGTAAGGAATATATGGCCAGGGGAGACACGGATCTCAATCGGAACGAAATGAGGATTGACAAGTTTGTAATAGAGGTTCTAAAAACAGTAAGTAAGAGATTTGTTCGATGGTTGAAATGAAAAAAGTTGGCCTTACTCGGCATTGCCATCACCGGCCAAGTTTAGGATGTAGGCCAAGGATCCCTTGGCGGTGTATAAGGACTCGAAGTGCGTGAGTGGGAGGGTAACGTTAATGGTGTTCTTCAGAGTGGGCACCGGGGACAAGCTGAGTGCAGGGACATCAAAATCAGACAATCCGTGCAACTGAAAATTGTCGATGGACCCTGTAAAGCTAGAAATCAAAGGATTTATATCGCCTACTAGGACATATGCTGGCCTTCACTTACTCCACGAGGTATTTGTTGTTTAATTCTGTCTCGACAGGGCCGAACTGCAGTGGGTCCAAAGCGGGCAGACCCAGATTCGGGATTGGATGGCACATACGTACGCGGAACTCTTCAAGGAACGCCAAGATCTTCGCCTCGTACACGCAGGTAGCGGGCGACAGGCATGCGTAGAGAATGGCTATGGCCAGCAGGGCCTGTGAAGTGAGTTGTGCCCGCTGCATTCTGCTGATTGATTCGCTTCCGTCCGGTTTGGAGTAGCTACTGGTCTGCCAGCGGGCGCCCGCCCCGATTTTGTTTGCTCACATTTCAAGTGGATCCCATTGTGTGTGTCAAGATACGACTTTTATTTTAATATTTTGACAAAAACTTATCTTCGCTAATCGCGAACGGGGCCCGAATGCGGACGATTACCGTGCAAATTGTTGGTGCTTCTGTTCGTATTAGCCTAATCTCAAGCTCATATTGAACTTTTAATAACTATGGACTACTGTCGAATTGACTTCAGCTACACTTGCTCCGGCGGCTGTCGCAAGTGCTCTGGGATCTGCTGGAGCTCAGTCCTGGAAGCCTGCAGCGCCACGCCCTCGGGCAGATTTCGTTCAATGTACTCTAGGAAGGTGTCCAGCGTGGAGCCCGTCAGCTTGTGGAAGTTCATATAGCGGAAGTGGGTTCGCACCTCGTACTGTACACGATGTTTCTTATAGATGTGCACCGACTTCAGGAGCGTCATCCGCTCGTGGTGCGCCTTGCGAGGTGACCAACTGCATGAGCATTAGCAACATATGTTAGAGATTTCTTTTAAAAGGCGTATTCCTACCTCTTACCATTTGCCCTTTTCAATGCCCAAATGCTCGGCAGCCGTAGTGGCGAACCAGGTGTAGCTCTTCAGAACCGCCGGATCAATACCACGCAGCTCAATCTCCAGCTTGCTATAGAGTTTATCCGGTTCCGGAGCGGGTGTCGCAGGTGGAAGATTGGCTTGTACGCCGGGACTAGTGGTCACGGAGGACAGAGCACGCACTGGCTGTATCCAGCGAAGCGTCCTTATAGCCTGGGAATATAAATGTATATGTCTTATACGTATTCCCATTGATAAATTGGATTTAAGTACCTGCAACATATTAACAACTGTATTTACAACTAGAATTATGCAAGTGCGGGAACCGCAATACTGCTCATAACGCCTTTCCAAAAATACTGAAAAATACTACACACCAAATATGTAGTTTGACAGGTGAACTACATACCCTGTAATAAATTCTGTTTACTTCATATTATATTTAAATGCTTTACGATTTCTTTGTTGCAGAAAAGCAACATATATTTTAGCTCAATAATAATTTCACTTTTTACATATGATTAATTGAAGTAATTTGTTAAATTAAGATATATCCCCAGTGGTACCCCCTAAAACAACATTTCAAATATTCCAAAACGCGTTAGGCTATTTTCTTTCCTTAAATTTTCGCACGTGTTGGCGCCGCTTAAAAATATACGTTTTAGTTTACGTTTCTAAGTTTAGGATCTTCGCCTTGCGATTTCATTTCTTTTGCCTGATAGCAGGACTATAGGAGTGGCAAACAAAGATAGCATGAAAGACACCGAAGTCAAAGGTGGGAGACCGATAATGCTTTTATTACTTATGATGATTACTTATTCATCCTACCCCATTGCAGACAACACCAAAGAGGAGGAGCCCATGAAGGAGGAGGCACCAGAGGAGCCTGCCAGTTCCAGCTCCGACGAAGATGAGTACGATGACATAGATGACGATGATGAGCCAATGGACGAGGGCGATGAGCCAACCACTTGTCTGTTTTGCACCGAAACATCTGCAAACATATCGATTGCCATTGACCATCTCGACACCCGGCACAAAGTAAATCTATCGCAGCTTCAGCTAAAATTCCAAATGGACCAGTATTCCTTTATCAAACTGATAAACTACATAAGAGCCAACAAGATCAGTGCCGAGCAGTTATTGTCTGCGGAACAGCCTCATTGGCAGGATGAGAAGTACCTCCGGCCCGGGGAGTATGAGCCCTGGCTCTGCTACGACTACGAAGTCCTCAAAACAGACGCCACTCCGGCTCAGCCCTCGGTTCCGGAGCTGCAGCAGCGGATTGCTGAGCAGTCCCAATTGCTGCAGCAGGCCAACGAGGACATGGAACGCATGCGCAACGACTACAAGGCGCTTCTGCAAAAGGTACATGGTGGCGAAGAGTCCAAAGGTTCGAACAAAAGTGTACCGCGTAACAACGTCTGTCTCGACAACGAATACTTCAAAAGCTACTCCCACTTTGGCATCCACCATGAAATGCTAAGCGACAAGGTGCGGACCAGTACATATCGCGCGTCTCTGCTCCAAAACGAGGGTGTTGTTCGGGGTAAGACAGTGTTGGATGTGGGATGTGGCACGGGAATCCTTTCCATCTTTGCCGCGAAGGCGGGTGCCGCCCGTGTTGTCGGCATAGACAACTCTGACATCGTGTACACGGCCATGGACATCATCAGGAAAAACAAGGTGGAGAACGTTGAACTGATCAAGGGACGGCTGGAAGACACAGATCTCCCGGAGGCCAAATACGACATTATCATATCCGAATGGATGGGCTATTTTCTTTTGTACGAATCAATGCTAGACAGCATCATCTACGCCCGCGAGAACTGCCTTAACCCCAATGGTATAATACTGCCCAGCCGTTGCACACTTAGTCTCTTGGGCTATGGGAACGACACGCTTTATGCCGAGCAAGTGGAATTCTGGTCAAATGTTTACGAGGTGGATATGAGCGATCTGCGAAAGCGATCGATAGAAGAGCCACTAATGGAGGTGGTGGACGCAGAGTTCATGCTGACGGATCCCGAACAAATAGCCAACTTTGACATAATGACCGTCGATCTGAACTATCCAAACTTCACTCACCAGTTCAATTTGAAGGTCACGCAGCCGGGACGATTATCCGCCTTTGTGGGCTATTTTGACACTCTTTTTGAACTACCCTCCGCCGTCATGTTCAGCACATCACCAAGTGCGACGCCCACCCATTGGAAGCAGACGGTTTTCTTCATTGACAAGCCGCAGATTGTAAAGGAAGGAGACATCATTAGTGGAAAAATCACGTCGAGAAGACATAAAGAGGATGTCAGAGCACTTAGTGTAGACATAGAAGTCTTTGGCAAGAAACACAAATACATGGTAGTTTAATGTGGTTGATTTCGAAATAAATTAATTACGGTTGGAGATGTTAATTGGAATTTAATTTCAAATAAAGTAACCACAATTCTTGGCTTTTGTAATCATTTTTAATTAAAGATTCGTAGATTGTACAATCTGCTGACAAATGAGAGCTTAATTACTTTTTGTTTTTAAAAATATGTAAATATATATAAATTAAAATGAGTACCCACTGCCATTTAGGCTGGATAGCTGGACATGGGCACGGCCAAAACATTATCGGATTCAGTTGTAGTTTGGTGTGTTAAAGGAGGCGGAACAGATGCTTTAAGCGGTATTGGTTTCCAACTCGGAGGCGGGAATCTCTGGCTCCTCGTCGTTGTAGACATTCTCGGCCATCTGCCAGACCTGCATTATGTTGTCCTCGGAGACGGAGCAAATGATCCATGGCTCGTTGGGGTTCCAGGAGAAGTCGCTAATCTTCGCAGTGTGGCCGCCATGGATAAAGAGCAGCTCGGGTGGTCCGTCTTCAGCATCCTCCGAACTCTGTTCCTCACCGATTTTTGACAAATCCCACACGTGTAGGCGGCGGTCGGTGCCGGAGGAGGCGAGAATAGTCTCGTTATGCGGCGACCACTGCACCTGGAAGATTTCGTCCTTGTGCGACTCGAAGGAATGTAGTTTTAGCTTGAGGTTGCGCAGATCCCACAGAGCCACAGTCTTGTCAGCGGAGCCAGTGGCCAGAATGAACTCCGAGTAGGGATTAAAGCTCAGGCAATTTACTTCAGCTGTGTGAGCGTCCACCGTATGCGAGGGCTTCGAGGTGTTGTTGTTGCGCGTGTCCCAAATCATTAGCTTCTGGTCATCAGCCACCGATCCGAACAGAGACTCATGGAGCAGATGCCAGGCAACGTCCTCAACAACGGCTGTGTGTCCGGTGAAGATGTTCTTGGCATCAATAACCCTATGCTCCTTGGGTGTGGCATTGATGTCCCACAAGCAAATGGTGTGATCATCAGAGGCTGACAGTAAATAGCCTGTAAGGACAATAATGTTGTTGATTAATGGTTATATTAAGGACGCAATGCATTTTATATGCGTTCTTGCTTAGTGTTTTTATCTCAGACAATACATAAATATCAAATTATTAATGACGTTTCCACTATGTACAGCTAGGCACGTACCATTGAGGTTGGGATTCCAAGAGAGGCCGTAGCCTTCCTTTTGATGACCGCGCAGCCGCAGGTCCGGTTGGCATTCGCCAGACGGCTCCGGCTTGCTGGGATGCTTCGTGTAGTCGAAAACCAGGACATCGCTCGACGGCGTCTTGGTGGCTATTACACATGCGTTCTGGGGCATGTAGCGGGCCCTGTTCACTTCACCTTCGTGGTTGATCTTTATCTCGATCTCGATCTTGCCGCACACCGATCCAAAGCCTCCGAACTCGCCCTTCTCGTTGTCGTAATGCGATCCATCAAACTGGGCATCCTCACTGGGCAGCTGAACGCTGGCGATGAGGAGATGGTTCTGCTCGTCAGACGTGTGTGTGCCCAGTATAAGACGATGTACCGAGTAGTCCTTGCCATCCTGCTTGGTCACGTCCGGCAGCCACTGGGCGGTCAGCGAGGGCCATTCCAGGGCATGCGTCATGACCAGATCGTAAAGGAACGGCGTGTTCTTTTTCCAAATCTTGTACTCCTCGTTGATCACGCGCTCCTCGACGGCGTCGTCGAAGGACTCCGCTGCTAAAGGTCAATGGTTACAGACTGCGGTGATTAACTTCTAACCGGACTTACCATTATCGCTGCGATCCACCATTTCCAGGCTTCTGGGCACGCAATTCCTCAGTCTGCGTCAAAAGTCGGCAGCCGAAAAAATCGGGCGCCAAAACAAAAGCCGAAGCGGCAAAACGTGTGCACAGGAACTACGAAAGCCCGCTATGTACTGGAAGCTTTCTCAACGAACACTCAGCCGAATGTCGTTAAGGCAAGGATTGAGTCAATTCCTGGCCGGGCAATTACACTTTTAATGGCGTAACGTCAGCGCAAAATGGGAATTTGGCTAATTTCCTTCTTTTTTTTGCAAGCGCGTCGTCGATGATAGAGATGCAATGCAAGCGATTGTCGAGACGACTGCCATATTCGATTACGATACCGATAACAGAGTCACGGTGAAACTGTGACAAGCTGTGACATTGCGCGGTATTTAGAATTGTACCTTGTTTATTGAAGTTCAAATTTGTGTATTATTAATATTTAAAAAAAAGAAAGTAAAATTGTTATGTATATCTTAATAATTAATTTGAATAGCGCACCAATGTACTGTATTTTATATGGTAGTATTTTATGGTATATTTGGGCTTATAATTGGTATATTTTAACGGTCGCTGTTACCGCCACACTAAAGTGGATAAACAAAGTTTACTTAATTCGTTATCAGTTCGCATGATTCGAAACAAGTTTAGGCGCCAATGACCGGCTTTCCATTATTGCTTGTTGGGGCTACCGTGGCAGTTGCAGTTAATTTCCCCAACCACAACGACGTGGGGCAGCCGTGATTCACCTTAATCGCTATTTTTCAATTGTGTATGCAAAATGTTTTTGCACATAACGAGCTGAACTATCGAATTTGCTAAATAGTTTAACAAGCAATAATTGGGCCGACATGCAGGTGGATAGTTGCGCAAGCAGCTCATCTGAGATCCCCAACCACACAAAACGTGAAACGTGTAAGTGCACAGTAGTTTTGATGGCCGGTTGAATGAAAAACTTTCTCCCTTGGCGCGTCGACGGTTTTGTTTGCCTCTTTCTTTCACTTGTGTAATCCGAATTTGGCCCTCAAGCTCGTTTTCTACCTCGAACGTCACTTTCCAGGGAACAGTGGGAAAATGCAGTCGTCGCCGCATTCCAAAGATGGTCATAATGCAGCGGGGGCTAGCAAACTGGTCCAGGATCAGCAGGCAGCCGAGGACTACTTGCAGCACCTGATGACGGAGGGCAGTCAGGAGGGCGACAGCGGGGCTGACTTGGAGCTACCTTCATGGTACGATGAGCAGCTATTCAGGCGGTAAGTTGCGTGACGAACTGTTCACTGGCTGCATATAAGCCATTTGCAATTTGTGTGAACTACGCATAGTAGAAATAATTGCGATAATTACAATATCCCCATAACCGTAGGCTATACCTGAGCATGGAGTTACATATGTATCAGTTATCATAGTTTTCAGTAAGCGCACTGAGTCTGTACATAATACTCATCCATCTTAGTCTTTACTCATTTACCCATTTTTATAAGTTCTGGCTTACATATTAATAATAAAAAAGTGCGACATATGTATATTTAATTTAATTTTCCAACGCTATATTTATGTAAGTATATTTTTAAAAATTATAAATTTTGATGATTCTGTATTCCTTTTTTGCAGTGGTCAGAGCTATTTCAGCACGTATCGCTTCGTAATGAACGCCGGAATGCTGGCTGGTCTAATAGCCGTGCTGGCTATTCCCTCTATTCTTCGGGTGCTGTCGTGCACACGCCAATCCTCGACAGCGTTCACCGCCTACCGTCGCTATGTGCGCACTATATTCCACACGCAAGCCTGGTATAACCACAACATCGCGGACCGTGGGAGCAGGTTCTGGACCAGTATTGCGGCCGTGAGGCGGGCCCACAGCCGCTCCAGTCATGCGTGCGCTCGCAAAGGAGCTGGACAGATCACCCAGAAAGATTTGGCTCTCACACAATTTGGATTCATTGGCTTTATAACGATGGGCGCTCATCGCATAAAGCTTAACGATCCAGACTTCCTGGAGGCCACGACGCATATGTGGCGCGTTCTCGGCTATCTGCTGGGCATCAAGGATGAGTACAATATCTGCGGAAGGAACTGGGCGGAATCAAAGCTTCGCCTGGACATTGTGATGCGAAAAGTATATGAACCAGCTCTGACAAACACTGGTGAGGATTTTTACCGAATGACCGAGGCCTTGATTAATGGTTTGTGGCACATGAACACTATGCTTTCGGTAAACGCCAACATATTCTTCGCCAAGCGATTGGCATGTGTCAAGGGCTACGAGTACTACAGTTTCGATCATGAGAACGGAGTGGAGCAGGATCCTCAGCAGAAACTGCACTACTACGACATGGGATGGTGGGATCGTTTCGTAGTCAGCTACGGCCTGTTCCTTGTCACATATCTGCACAAGTACGCCCTGGTGCGATGGTATTTCAACTTCCGCGTCTGGCTGGTGGACGTACTGACCTATTACTTGCCCTACGTCGCCATTTGGAAGTTTGGCCCAAGGTTCGCGTATGTGCGGATCTTCAGAAAAGGAGGGGAGGCCCAAGATTTTACCTCGGGCTTGAAGGACGATTAGATTGTGTTGGTTTTGTGAGACTTAGTCATTAGGTAAATTATTAATAAATACGTTACTGTGACAATTAAGACTTTGAGTTTATATTTTGCTGTTAATTTGGAATAAAACAATAATTTTTAATGAAAGGGCTCTTATTATTTGATATTATGCTATATATAAAATGTTATATGGTTAAATATGGTTATATTCTATAAACAAATAATTTTTTTACCTTAAATAGATCGTTATACAGTTTCGGTAACTATAATAGCACCATAAGCACATTTCGTGTTTGTCCCAGCGTTTCTGTATTTTCTGACACTTTTTCATCATTTTACTCACTAAATTTAAATACTACAATGATATTCAATCGAAATAACAAAATTAGTAACAGATCTAATTGATATTTTAAAAATAATTGGCAAAACAAAAAAAACCTTCAAATTTAGGCGGTAACAAAAATAGCACTGTTTCTCGTAGTTCGCTAAAACTAAATAAAAAAAGAATTCAACAAATGGATTATATCTTAAGAACTATGTTTAAAGAATCTTAATATTTGGTTGCGTGACCTTTGTTGGCGATGACAGCTGCGCATCGTCTTGGCATGGAGTCCACCAAGTCCTGGCACCGTTTTTGAGGAATTTTGCTCCATGCATCCTTGACCACACCCCAAAGTTCCTCGTTATTATTGGGTTTGGCTTCAGAAACCTTTTTTTTCACGTCCGCCCAAAGTTTTTCAATTGGATTCAAGTCGGGTGATTGAGCAGGCCATTTCATTACTCGGATCGAATTCTGCTCAAACCACTTTCGAGCTTTCTTGCTCGTGTTGAAATCTTGTTGAAATGTCCAAATCAACGGCATTTCATCCTCGGCATATGGCAGCATCACATTTTCCAGGATATCTGTGTAAATGTGCTGATCCATGATGCCTTGAATCCAATGAATCGGACCTACTCCATAGTATGAAAAGCACGCCCATACCATGATGTTTGATCCCCCGTGCTTTACCGTCTTAGAGATGAAGCGAGTATTATATTCAGTTCGTAGTGAACGCCGAACATAAGACCGAGAGCCTTTTCCACCAAACAACACAATTTTGCTCTCATCTGACCACAAAATGTTGCGCCACTTCTCTACAGGCCAATCCTTGTGTATCTTGGCATATTCCATTCGCTTTTCCACATGCTTCACAGTCAAAAGCGGGACTTTTCTGGGACTGCACGCATTAAGGTTGTTTTGTCTTAAGTGTTTGCGTACTGTTTCCACGCTTGCAGCTATCTGAAGCTCCTTCTTCAGTTGCGTCGCCGGCTTAAAAGGCTCCTTCTTGCTTTGCCGAACCAAGCGCTTGATCTCCACGTTGGACATTGAGGGCTTTCTTCCACGAGTTTCGTTCTTTTCGACAAACAGCAGTGCGTTGCGGATCATTTTGTTTGAACAACCGACAATGCGACCAATTTCAGCGTAGGTTTTACCTTCAGAAATCATGTTTTTAATCAAATTTCTTTCTTCGACGGTACAATGCTTTCCGCGACCCATGACTAGAGAATTTTTGCTCTTCGTTTGGAACAAATTCAATTCAAACCTTTAAAGCAACTCCCTATTTCAAAATTTGTCGAAAAAAACCCAAAGCAATCACTCCTATTAATTTTATTTAGCAAACACGTGGTCAGTGCTATTTTAGTTACCGCCTCATTTCGCGCGCTTTTGCAGCATGTGCCCAAAAACAAAAGGAACCGTTACATTGAGAGAGTAAAAATTCCTTGGTCAGAGAGACAACATATGGTACTTATTATTCATGCAATATTTACTTATTATTCATGCAATCTGACTTAAAAAAAAATAGACATTCAATAATTTTTTTTAGGAAATCAACTTTCCACCTGTAGTAGTGCTATTATTTTAACCGCAGCTGTAAGTATTGGCGGTAAATTTCGCGCCTCTGTTTTTTCAAAATTTTCGAATCTGGTCACACTGGAGGCAGCGTCTTTTAGGTTCCGGCTGTTTATTTTAGTTTTTTTAACTCAGGAAAAATTAACAATGTTTTACCACGTGAGTATTTCAATCTCTGGAAGCTAGCAAATATAAAAGCCAGCCCCTGCCACCTTAGATATCGCTGGAGCACGAGATTCTTCTTCATCCACGTTATTTTGGCCCGCAACTGCTGGAGACCGTGAAGCAGAAACTTTACTCCGAAGTGGAGGGCACCTGCACGGGAAAGTACGGATTCGTGATAGCGGTGACGACGATAGACCAGATCGGATCCGGTGTCATCCAGCCGGGGCAGGGATTTGTGGTATACCCGGTTAAGTACAAAGCCATCGTCTTTCGGCCTTTCAAGGGCGAAGTTCTGGACGCAGTGGTCAAACAGATCAACAAAGTGGGCATGTTTGCAGAGATAGGCCCGCTGTCCTGCTTCATTTCGCACCATGTAAGTTAAATTACATGCTTCCCTTGAAGATTTAAGAATACACTTTTTCAATGAGCCATTCCTTTCAGTCTATTCCCGCCGACATGCAGTTCTGCCCGAACGGCAATCCGCCCTGCTACAAGAGTAAAGATGAGGACGTGGTTATCTCCGGGGAGGATAAGATTCGGCTGAAGATTGTGGGAACACGAGTGGACGCCACTGGAATTGTAAGATCCTTCTTAAATGATAATAGTTTTCGCAAGTTTATGCTCTAATTCTTCTAGTTTGCAATTGGCACTTTGATGGACGACTACTTGGGATTGGTGTGCAACTAAAATCAAGATTTTTGCGTACAATTTATATATATATATATATTAATCTTTAATGAAATGCATTTAGACAGTTAAACATCTATGTGTATATAGTAATAAATATGTATGTACTTTATAAGGTTTGATTTCAATTAAAGGTACGTTACATTTGTAATTTAGTAGATTGGTGTGGTCTAGGATGTATAATAATGGATGGACATTAAGTAAACAAACGGCTCGAGCTATACATAGGGCGATTAAAAGGTATAGTTACAGCTACAGATCATTATGATAAAGCACTTAAGTTAGGTGTACGACAACAAAGAAGTACTTAAAAAGCGAAGGCTTCCATTCAAAGAATTGCGATTGCACTTAGAAATGATAGAGAGGAGAAGGGGGCAATGAGATATTGGATACGGAGTTGATTGCCAACGATTGAACTCTTTACAAGGCGGCAGCAAGCCTCACAGATCCCACGAGAAGAGATGGTGCTTCACCAGCATGTCCCTTACTCCGTCCTTGAGCGGTTGCGACTCCTTGCCTCGCTTTGGAGGCAGTTCCCAGTCGGGGTTCAGATTGAAGGCAAACTGCGAGAGAATACGAAGCTCGCACTTGATCTGCACCCAGCCGGGTGAGTCAATGAAGCTCCAGGAGTGGTACCACTTCTGTACGACCTCCTGGCAGGCGCACAGCACCTCCAGCCAGAGGTGAAGAACCTGTTCGTTGAGGCCCAAACAGATTAGCGAGCGCAACTTAACATCCATTTGAGCGTGGGCATCATCGTGCGTCTGGTTGATGGCTTGAACGCAGCGGTAGAGTAGTTCCTCGGGCGTCAGTACCTTGCCATCCTCATCCAGTCGATACGTTTTGCAGAGCACAAGACGGCTGTACACCGACTCAAAGTCCTTCTCCACCTCCCGGGTGGCAGCCTCCTCAATATACAGCCAAGGATGTATCGGTCCACCCAGAAAGGTCGGCCGTTTCATGCCGTGCTCCAGAAAGGCCTTGATGGCCGGCGCCAAGGTGCCCCGCACCAGGTCCGTTACAGTTTCCGAAATGGCATCATCTCCGGCTGATGTGTACAACTTGCTCCGCTCGTCTAGTAGCTCAACGAACTTGGCTGGAAACCAGCCGCGCAGACCGTTCAGTTCTCCCACCCAGCAGTGTTCGTCTTTTTGGCTGATGATTGTAATGATGTCGTTCCGCCGAAATCCCAATTCATCGTCGTCGTGCCGTTCAAAGTCGTGCAAGGCTTTAGCCCTTCGCTTTCGCGTCCTTGCCACATTGATGAAGTTTTCGTGGTCCTTGGCATGCGACTCGGTGCTGTAGTTGGCAGTCAGCTGGATGTGACCGGCAAGCTTGGGTTCAATGGTAATGAAATGACGACCCACTTTAAGAATAGCCTCTCTTAAGTCTACCAGGATCTCCGTCTGGCGTATGTTCTTGTTCTTCAGCTGATCCCCTTCGTTTCCGTCGCCGCGGAAGAGAAAGGCTTCCAGGATGGATTTGCTTTTGCGCACCTGTCGTCGGGCCAGCTGTTGTTTGGGAAGATTAGGCGCAGCCTCGGGGTTTCCTATCTGATGTCCTTGATCCGCCATGAGATAGGCCAGGTGGCGACGACGATGGGTGTCGATTACCGTCTGGCTAAGCGATCCGCCTACCTCTAGGGCTTGGCGAAAGAGCACTTCGACGTCAGTGACTTCGCCGGGAATGTCGGAAAGTGAATTGAAAATCTGTGCGGAGTTCTCGAGGTGCTTCAGATCTTGCTCCTTCACCTTGAGCATGCCCAGAGTCAACTGGAACAGCACGATCGAGCCCTCGTAAAAGAACCAGTCCCAGATACGCACCAGAATCTTCATATGCACCACGTTAGCGAACAGCGTGAGAAACCAATGCAGCGTGATTAAAGACAGCTCGATGTCGTGCTTACGCAAGGACTCGTCCACGCTGCTCAGGTAGTTGGCAATGAGCGTGTGCATAACGCGCTGATCTGCTTGAATTCCCAGAAGAGTTGAGCTGTAGTAGGATGCTGGCAGCAGGTCCTCCACAATAGTGGCCATCATCCAGAAGGCGTTCTCCTCCTCCATAAAGAGAAGCAGACAGGCGACGATCACTCCGGTGCCCTGACAGTAGCCAATGTCAGGAAATAGCCACGCGATGCCCCTCAGAATGCGGCGTAGTCGGGGAATGCCCGTCCCGTTCGGATTGCTAAAGCAGGCATTCGTTGGCAGGATACGCAGTAGGTCCTTTTCTATCTGTTTAGAAGTCATCAGCTGGTCATTGCTAGAAGCTATCAAAATAAGTGGAAATTAATATATGTATTTATAAGCTCCCTTATCGCGTTCGATTCTACCTTTTACGATATCGTGGTAGCTGGTCTCGCTCTTTTGCTTCTTGGCCAGCGCTCCTGACAGACGCATCCACATCTGGGCGCGCAACGTGTGGGGAATACCCTGACGGACCATATTGCGCAACTTTTCTGTACGTGGGAGCATCACATCCACATGCTCCCAGGTCAGCTCGGTTGCCTCCTTGTTGTGGGAGAATTCCAGATGGGCAATCCACTGCAGCCGCTGCTGCGCGTCCTCCACAAAGGGTATGCTGAGCAATTTGTTGGAGCTCTGCTCCGGACCGTCCTCCTCCTCCACCCGGAATCCAAATTCGTCAAAGCGGTACTCCGGCTGATCGTTTGGGCCGGAAGCCAATTCTGCGCCACCACCTAGCTTGGCCAGGATTTCTTGGGGCCACATGGAGGCTGTAAGAGCGGAGAATGGACCGCCGGGATTTGGCCGCAGGCCATCGGCCACACTCAGTTCCTCCATCATGGGCGGCAGCTCTCCCAGATCGTCTTCCGAGCCCAGGTTCTGCAGTTTGCGCTGTTGGCAGTGGAACGATAAATATTAATTACCATGATAAGCAATCTTTTCTGGTCAATTTAGTTTCACCGTATGCTCTTCACGGCCCACGTAACCCTCGTGGTCGCGGCCAAAGATGCTCCTGGCCATGTCCATGGTGGGGCTGGCTAGTTTCCAGTCGAGTCCTGGCCGCGCATTCAGTGGAAGTTTCTATCAAATGTGTCTTTTTGGTGTGTGAATCACAAATATATTTTCTGCATTGTTTCGTTTCCAGTTAGCTACCGAAACTGATTTCACTATCAGCTGTTCGATAGGCGACTGTGGATGGTATCGATTTTTAGCCAAGCCATGAAAAACTGTGGTGTGGTGTTGTGTGAAGGGGATCAAAGGGGGAATTTAAGCCCTAACATATGTTTATAAAACTATTTTTAAATTAGTTTAGACCTTATATACAAATAAATAAAAGAGGCATAACCTACAAGTTAAAAATCATTAAGATTGGTTCATCTTAACATATATATTTCCACATTTCCTTAAACTTAGTTCTCTACGCCCTTGACCAGGGCTGCTGAAAACACACCTGTTGAATACACAGACAATGCTGTTTAATAAAATCATTAAATGTTTTTAATGTAGGCTAGCAATTACACTTTAATTGCATTTCTTAAAATAAATATAATATTTCAAGCCATATCAACCGATTTTTGATAACAAGCAACAATCGATTCCCCCGCCCTCGCTTAATCAGCTGTTTGGTTGGGATTGTTGTGTGGTTTTCGTTTGCCAAATGAAAAACACAAGAAATTTACAAAAACAATGCAGTTTAAGCCCATAATAACATGTGAGTTGTAAACAATAATTACACAAAATGTAATATTATAACTTTACTAACAGATTCTGGCTCGTGCCCGCTGTTTCGGTCGCTGGAGTCCCAGATCCTGAATGCGATTCCGTTGGACACTTGCGAGTGGCGACGCACTTTCCAACGCCCAACGAAACATGTTCGCCTGGAGGCCCAGAGCCAGCAGTTCAATGTTTCGGCCTTGGAAAAGTACAAACAGGGCGACTGGAGCATCTTGGAGCACCCCATACTGCACATCTTCGTCACCGAGTGCAATGTGAGTTGGCTGATCCTCTAGGAATCTCTGAATCCCTCCTCCATTAACTATGTTCCAGGACGTGGACACCTACAAGGCCACCATCAGGGAGGCGATCGACATTTGGCTAAAAACATTAACCAGTTATGGCATCTCGGATTGGATGATTTTGTTGGTCGAAACACTGGACATGCGGAAGACCAAGAACTTTATGCCACGCACCACTGTTCTGGATAAGATACGGTTGGATTTTGGCACCAAGAACGACGACCGCTGCATCTCAGTGCTGAACCCGGCGAAATTTGAACAGAAATCCACGGAGTCCTTCCGCTGCCTAGTGCAGCGTATCCGCTTCCTAATGCTCACTAGCTACAATCGGAACATAGTTAAGTACGAGGAACTTATACGGAGCAAGCGCGAAAAGCGAAATATTGAAGGCTGGGACTTCCGGCAGTACTTCTTCATGCAGGAAGACCTGGCGTTGATCTTCGAAAAGTTGGAATTGCCTACCGAGGCGTTGATACAGTATGATGAGCTAGACGCCATGTTCTCCCAGCTAATAACTCACACTGGCCTCAACGAGAAGCAGCAGTGGGTAAACCATTTCCGCAAGCCTTTAGACGCTTTCCATGGTATTTGTCTGACCCGCGCGGACAAGTTCGAAATGAGAAAGAAGATCCGCGATGAAGGCGTTTCCCTTTTGGAATTCCGCAACTACCTTTTTGAACGGCAAGCCTATCTGCTGCTTACTTGCAATGACATTCCGGAAATCGCCAAGAGGCTTCTGAACTTTCTGTTTTCCACACTGCGTGAGGTGGAGTTCATAAAGCTGGAGTGTCAGGAGGGCGCTCTTTGCTGCTGGGAGTTCGTATGTGCTCTGGAAGTCCTGCAGCTGTGCGAACAGGCCATGGAACCCAACGAGCTTACATGTTTCCAGCACTGTGCTCCCATCTGGAACTTGGCCAAGGATAAGTTGTACGAGCTCGGCAAACTGTGTGGCCTCTTGCCCGGCTGTACGCCAACTTCGGAGCAGTTGCATATAGTGGTGCAGCTATCGTCGGGAATTGGAGATGCGCCTCCCGAGCAGCATCAGTTCCTCCAGGCGACACCTCAGCTACGAGAACGGTCTCCCAATCGCAAGCCGAAAAAATCGGCGGCTGAGCAGCTAAAGGAAGCCCTGGGCTCTAATCAAGCCTTCCAGAAGCTATACCTCGAGCTGGCAGAACTAGCCATCAGTACTTACAAGCATGTGACACGCTTGCGATCGGCTCGTTTGGTTGGCCTGGACCTGGGAAACTTCTACTGTTCCCTAAATGAGCCGCATAAAGCTGTTGGGTTCTTTACGGATCTTCTCAGGGAGCTGAAGGCAGAGAATTGGCACATGTTGAGCTCCCAGACGCTGCTTGAACTAGCTAACTGCTACCGCAAGATGGGTGACTCGCTGGCCTATACCAAGACATGTAGCTCCATCTCGTGTTGCGCGGAACTAGAGACCTTGGTGCGAACCTTTTACTTCGACGAGTTTCTCAAGTCGCTGAAGACCCTGAAGACGACGCTTTCGGCTCAGCCGTCAATAGAGAATGCCAACTTTTGTGTACTGGAGGATCACTTTCGCATCCTGGACATCGAGGTTGTTAACCAAAAACCTATTATACAGGATGATTATATTGTAGTGCAGCTAAAAGTAGACAGTCTCTATCCGCGAGGAGTCGTAGCTGAAAACATCAAGCTTTGTTATGAGTTGGAAGCTTCCTCTCTGGAGCTCGCCATGGAGAATGTCAGCCTAACTGCCGCCTCTTCGACCGTAAAGACCAAGGACACCTCCTCACGATTGAAGGTCTCCCTTCAGCTAGTCTACAAGCAGGACAATCGCCTTCACTCTGCCGCTGTGGCCTGCGACTTGCCCAAAAGCAAGCAACCCGTGCGTCGCACAAGCAGCACCAAGCGAAAACTTTCGCCAAGTGTCCAGGCGGACTTCACCAATTTTGTTCAAGCGGAGAACATTGCCCTTCAGCCGGGCGTAAACATAATTGAGCTGAAGGCAAAAGCCACTCGAGTGGGCTGCTGGCATTTCAAGCAGGTGGGTGATCATGCTGGAACAGTTTTCTTGGCCTATTTTTAATAATATTGTATTTTTTGTTTCTACTTTAGCTATGTGTCAGCATGTCCAGCCTAGAGTTCTTGTCGGAACAGCTGCCATTTACGCCATCCAGCTTTGAGATAAGCACCAAGCCGGCAAGTGCCTCGCTGGAGTTCAAGACTCTGATAGCTGGCATAGTGCAGCCTATCAGCTTAAATGTCTCCGGTGGCAGTTTCATCTTTCCGCCCGATGCAAAAATCACGCTGCGCTGCTCCAAGAATCTTCGCATTCGCCTGGCGCGAAATTCGGAGGATGAAGCAGCGTATAACGATGACCAATCCTTCGAAAGCATGCTTCAAGTGCCGCTAGTGCAATTCAAATCGTTTGAGGAACGTAAAATCCCACTGGAGGTTCTCACTGATATGCCGGGCCGAAAGGTGTCTAAACACCATGAGCATCACATTGCCCTCAATTGTCCGTGGTCTCGAAATGAGCTGCCAATCGCGGTCGATTTTCAACCAGCAATGGAGGCCACTTGCCGGCTTCACACGTGTGGTACTCAGAAGTTCCTACAGGTGATCATGAAGGGTCTGGATGCGCATCTCCTTTTACAGCATGCTCAAGTCAAGTGCGATGTACCTGGTGTGCAATTGTTGGACCTAAATCCGGAGCCCCAGCAGCCTATTGTAACTAAATTGCAATACAATTTAATATCTAAAGTTACTGATCTCTATGCTTGTCTTTTAGGAAATCTACAAATCCCTGACTGTAACTTTTCTGTACGAGATTCAAGTTGAGCCCCTCAAAACCGAGCACGAGCTGCCCGTCGTTAAAGTGCATTTTGTAATCAAATACGCATCGCTGTCGCAGCCTGATGTGTGGAGAACGTATGGTTGCGCTTTTGATTTGGTGGACTACACAACGCTCTTTAAACTGCAGGCGCAGCTGGAGCCAAACGAGCTGTGCCGGCTGCGCACCGTGTGCAACATGAACTTGAAGATCACCAAGGTTCATGAGAATCCCTACACGGATCTCATGTACGAGGTGCTAAATGATCAGAATCTGTGGGCCGTATGCGGTCGCTCAGCGGGTAAGTTGTGGTCTTTTTATGAGTTGGTCTTTCTTTGCTTATGATTTAATTCTGTTTCTCTACACACGATTCACTTTTGCATTTTAAGATATGGGTAAGTTGTTTGGAATAGGACACACGTAGCACTAACTAGATTTGCCGTTGCTTTTGATTGGAAACATTTAACACTGAAAAAGAAAATTGCCATAATTCGATGAACCAACTGTCCGTGCTTGCTGACTAACGATTTTTACTCAACCTTTTAGGGGTCGTATCCATGAAGGATGTTGATAGTCATTCCATATCGCTGGATGTGATGCCGCTAAGCACCGGCTTTCTACCAATGCCCAGCATTCGACTGTCCAAGTACACTGCCGGTGGCAAAAGTAAGACCGATGGCCACTCCAAGGTTCATCCCTTTCCGCCTGGTCAAGTCTACAACTGCACGAAGAGCATGCAGATCCATGTCATAGCAAGTGTGGCGGGGGATCAATGAGAAGCCAAATTGAATACGAATTAATTGCAATGTACTCATAGCACATATGGCCTATGGTCAAGTATTATTAATTATTTATCGTTCTACCATAAAGTAGTAAAAATTTAAAATCAAATCCAATTAGGGTTTCTGTGCACTTAGATCAGCAGCCAATTTGGCCAGTTGCTTTTCCTCGACGCGGTAGTAGTGCCAGCCCTCCTTATCTGTCAAATCCACCGCCCCCAGGCTTTCGTAGAACTTACGGGCGGGATTCCACTCCAGTACGTTGAATTCCAGGCGTGGACACTGAAGCTCTACGGCACGCGCCGAAACCTCCAGGAAGATTCGCTTACCGGCGCCGCGTTTTCGGTGCTGTGGGCGCACATAGATGTCCTCGACGAAGAAGTACCGTCCCTGCCAAGTTGAGTAGGCCTTGTAACAAATAGAGTACCCAATCGCCTGACTGAAACAGGTATATAAACCCAAAGGTTAATCAGCTCATGTCCAAAACTATAGTAGTTACTTTGTTGCATTGTCTATAAGCACATAGACTTCACAGTACTCCTGGCCTCCAGTGAGACCTGCATCCCTTTTGAGATCTGTCTTATATATGTACGTTAGC